CGTAAATCAACAGTCGTCACATACATATTTACACTCATACATACTCTTCAGTCCTCATCGTTCATTATGTGACATTCCGTCGAGTCATCCCAGGAGCACATCAACTCAAAATTTACTACTTCCCCCCTTAGAGGTGACTAGCCGTATACCCCCATGTGGTGCCATATCAGTCTCGTCCCCATCCCCGTCTACACTATCCCCATCCCTCTGCCACAGACTGACGCTCTCCTCCCGATCCGTCTCTTTATCTCCTTTGGGATACTTCCTCGCTGTCCTTCCTCTCGTCGTACTCGAATGACTTGACTCTTCGTCCCCATCCCAGCTTCTCGCCGAATCCGTCACGCTCGGAAAGGAGAGTAACGTCGTGGTGCTTGGCGTATCATTAAATAAATCTCTCGAGTCCTTTCTGCCTTGCTGGAGGCGGGGCAAGATGGACGTCGGGGGAGCGCTATAGGGTATATTCTCGTGTCCAGGCGATCGTGGAGGGAGAGGAGGTAGAGAAATGATTTGTGAAAGCGTAGACGCTGAGGGGCCTTCAGTGTCTGTCGGGCTTTCAGATAGAAAATCTCTCGATGCAGAGGCTGCACTGGGTGAAGGAGGTATAGAAAGCGGATTCACGTCATTGTGTTGTCCCGGCAATCCAGGAATCCCAGGAGACGTTGCCGTCGCTCGATGACCGTGAATAGCTGTAGGATCACCCCTTGTACCTCCAGGCGTTTGACCAGTCGGATGATATTGATGCACGACATCCTGAGTATCGAATTTGATCGTTGGGCGTTTATTCATCATCTGCGAATCTCTACCTGCGCTGCTGATCGACGAAGCGTCATCTCCGCGTGTGGCGCCCGTGAGTGAAGGTGAACCTGGAGGTACCGGGGCATCATACAGTTGATGCCGCTTGAGACCACCGAGATATTCTGTATTTGTGCTGTTTCTAGGAGAAAGCCACGCCTGACCACGAGGAGGATCATACGGTGCCATTGCACCAGCCGGTCTGGTGCTATACGAGCCTGGTCGACTTCCTCCGCGACTCTGGCTCATTCTCCTTGCGCTCCGGGCTCGAATGATACTGCCAACAGCGCCGAATGATCCTCTTAGAGTATCCATGCCCGGATCTTCAACGGCCAGCACGTCTTTCTCGTCGAAGCCAGCAGTGTGTTCACGAGAAGCTTGGAGGAGAATAGTGGATCGGCGGTCAAGTTTAGTGAGGTTTTCTGGGTCAACTTTGGACATTTGAAGGATGGTTATGCCGAAACAAATAACAAGGAAGCCCATGACAAGGGTGATAATGGATGAAACCGAGGCGGAGAGTCCTTGGAAGAGTACCTGAGAAAGGTTCAATGGACGCAGAAGGAAATGTGCGGGATCGACCTTACAATTGTCGTTAATATAGAGAAAAAGGTAACTGAAAGTAAGACAGAAAGATTAAAACTGGCTCAAGATAGTAAAGCAGAGACTTACATATGACGTAATAAGTGGGTGTAACTGGAGAAAAAGTTAGTAGAAAGCTCAATCGCATTACAGAAGTTACACACCCATAGCAGTGTTGAAAAGCGCCAGCGCAACATTCAGATAGTACACCTCCGTTACTACAAACACATTCATCAATCCACGAACGAATAATCCAATGTTGCGGACGAACTGAGGGTGATAGCAACAAATCCCATAAGGAAGTAGATGAACCAGTATTTGAACTAAAGAAATCACCCTTTAGTATTCCAGCACCGTTATGATATTTTTCGACACATACCTGATTATCGCCCTCTGCAGTAGTGACGATCGCAGCACCCAATCCCGTCGTCACGCTGACACTAATTCCACCAATCATACTACACACGAAGATATACCACAGCATACTCTTCTTCCCATATCGAGGAGCAAAATAAAATATGATCGCAAGTGCTGTGGCGATGAGTACAGAGGCATATGATAGGAATCCCGGCGCAAGGAATAGTTTTTGAAAGTCTTTGATTTGGCCGACAGAGTTTTCAGACGGACCTAGGGTGATATTAGCCTTGAGATTGACAAGGCCCCAAGAAGCCTGTTAGATTCGTACCATTGAGCGCAATGATTACAGAGCCAATCTACAAATGGGGAAGTTGGTTGAATGCGAGGTCCGCGCGCGCGCGCGCAGCACATTGGGTAAAGGGACGCACAATACATAGCCCACATCCGAGCCAGCCGAAGAATGTGAGTTTTTCTTGTAAGAATATTGAAGAGAGAATAGCACAAATGACGACGGATAATGCGCCCAGAGGAGTCTGGAATGCGCATGTGCATGGTGGTCAGTAGGCCCTCAGCGTCGGAGAAAGATACTACGCACGACCACGATAGCCTCTACAAAGGCGTATGCTGAGGGAAAACCATTGTCAGAGAGGGATTGAGACGGGCACGACGGAGAGTACACGGACCAGCAAAATTACATAGTTCCCCCATTATCATCACTAGCCGAAGCATGTTAGTGCTGTATGATATCTCATGACCACGAATTTGCCTACTAGTCATTCCTATCCACCATAGCGGCTGACGAAGACCATATTAGACAAAAATCATCTCACATAGCAAATGTACGATACTCACCGACTTGAGATATCCTACACCTTCTCCAGCGACCTTACCGGCCTGCGCGCGTAGCAGTCCCTTCTTCTTGAAGACAAAACTCGACCCAATAAGACAACCACTGGCTATCGCAAGTATAATTCCGACGATCTAAAGCAAGCAGTTGACAGGTTATGCCTTGAGAAAATGATAATGATGACCACGGTTTTCAAATTGCACCTTGAGATTGGAGCCAACAGAAATCGTTCCAGATGCTACAGAGCTAGTCGCCGCAGCCGCAGTGGACGTCGCCGACGACGTGGACGAACTTGATGACATGGAGTTGTTAAGAGAAACAGATTATGAACAAAGCGCCCTGCGGCGGGCCCGCCGGAAGATATTTCCAAATCGGAACAATAAAGAAACCCCCGATATTCTCTCTTTCCCTTCCCCGTGTTCATCCTTCTGATAGAACCGACAGCGCTACCTTTTCCGCAGAGTTGATACCTCAAACGCTCATGAAGAATGAAATGTTCATCAAGGCAACTTAATCAATGGCAATAAATTTGCAAGTCATGCTTTTTGAGGGTAATGTTACATCTGAGGGTTTGCGGAACTTTTGGTGAACCTTGCTCGTCACGATAACTCGGGCTACGCAGGTACTGTCCATGCTCCTTCAGATAACTCATACCGCTCTTACTGGAATGAATGATTTGAAGATTTATCGTGCGAGTCGCAAACACGCGAAAAATCACAAACTAATATGATTCTCGAGTCTTATGTCCACCTAGTTCCACCCACCATTGAAAGAATGCGTGGAAGGAAAAAAGATGACCAGCTCTGTGACGACGCACCTGGTCATAGTATATGCATACTATTCAAACGGTCGTACCGCAAGCGATGGATGACGCCTCGGAACGCACATATCAAAGGCGCACAACCAATCATAAGCCTGGACAATTTTCTTTTTTTTTTAAATGCTGATGGCAGTGATGCACTTCGGATGTCGTTTTCCTGCTGTGATCGCTATATGAGCTTTGTCTGTCTCCTAGTGCACTGCACGCACTGCACAATGGGGTATATTTCCAAATGATCTCTCCATGTCAGTGACCGTGAGGAGAACAGGCAAAACATTTGGCCTAAACGAAAAGCAGTTTTTATCTCAGCGTCGTCGCCTCTCATTCGATTTCCCAATGATTTGTTCTTTATTCTTCTGACGCATGGATGAAGTCCCTCTGCGCTCGTGATATTGAAGAGCGGGAGCTTTTCAGGGTGGATCAGCCCTTCGAAGGCTGAAGGATTGGGCGATGTCGGGTCCAAAATTTCTGTATATTTCTTTGTCGAAGGATATCGAAGGAGGGGAGAGATAATGACAGCGAGTTGTTGAGTCGAAGGGCCCTCTTCGGAATTGGGTACATGTCTGTTGGAATTCTATCTTCCTCCGTGCAGATGGTATCTCATCGGCAATGTCTAGTAATATGCATTGTTCACCAGACGTCTAGAGGGATAGCTAGGAAATAGGCTGGTGGCTGAAGAACGACGTTGGATGTCCTCCGCCCAGCAAGGCCTTGTACTGGTTTGGTTGAATCAGTGTGTCGGACACGAAATGAATGACAAAGGATTGCTTCGATCGTCCAGAGCCACGCTCTCTGCTGTTGTGTCCTTTGTAACATGTCTCATAAATCTTATGCATGAGCCGCGACTATTCGTTCTTTTATGGGAAGCTGGAGGAAGTACTGACCTCGAAGGAATTTCTCTTCCATCCAGGCCACTCATCAATAGGTTTACTCTTTCCCGGTGCTTGTATCATCGAAGGGCTCTCAACCGACCTCTATTGTCGACGCCCGCCCTTCGTACGGTGACAAGGATGTCCCATCGGTAGTGTAGAGATGGATCCTACGGGTATCCTTTTTTCTGAGCTGTTGATCCGCGTGACTTTCGAGGAACGTCTAATAGTAAACGGCGGTGTATATGCTCGACGACAGGCTCTTGTCTCCAGCGAGTGTAGATCTCTTTTTTTCTGGGAAAGTATGAGGGTGTTGATAATACTTTTTTTTCAGTATCTGCCGGGTGGGTGATTTTGCGGTCCGGACTTCGTGGAGAGCTAGGAGCGAGCGCGCATCTACCGTATATGTAGTTGGATGGGCTGCGTAATATGGACATCTGGCAGACAATCCTGAATATCTGCTGAATATCAATGGCAATCCTTTCTCCACTCGGACTTGCTCCGTGCGTTCAAAAAATTGACGATTTCAATACTCGATTGCTGGACGTCGCAAGATTCATGAGCGTATGAGCAAATCCCTCATTAATTCTGTTACGTGTTTCTTCATGGTGGTTGGAAAGAAAAACCATGTCTTAGTAGTTGTAACTCGTGCCAAGAACTAATCTATGCATCGAACGACGTCCATATCATTGCTCTTGAGTACTGATACATGGAGGTTTAAGGCTTTCATATACACTCCCTAGTAGTATATCGGTAGTACACGCGCGATGCATGAACTGAACAATACTCTACGACGTTATTGTATCGTTACATGTTCTGTGCGAGGACTGGGCTCGATTCCCAGCTAGGGAGGTCAGCCTTTTTTTCGATTCGTACTTAATTGCAGGAATTTTTTTGAAGATGATGAATATTGGGGGGAAGATGAAATTGGAGATCTCCAGCAGCTATTGAGCATTCCTGCAATTAGTCTTAAACTTGAAGAGCTCCAGCCTGACCTGCATAAATAGGAACCCGGCGTCAGATACAGTTTTCCACCGGATCGCTCTTTTCCGAGTCAACTTCAAGCCGCATTGTTTGAAGAGCTGTGAGAGCTCATGCATAATGAGAGTCATGAAATCCAGAGTTTCCGATACTGCGTCAATATATGTATCATCCTTCTGATAATATGAAGCCCGAATGGAACAAGCCACAAGAAGCCCCCCACATCTGCAAAACCTGTTTTTTTGGCTAATTCTCTGAGAGCAGCTGAGAGCACTTCCCAGCAGCCAAAGCACCCAGAGCAAGTTGAAATTTTTGCTCTTGGTGCTTTTGGCATTAGAGGGTGCTCTCCAGTTAGTACCCTTTACCTGGCAAACATGCAGGTTTTGTAGATGCACACACGTCACGGATGAGCATAGGTAAAATAGCAATTAACCCCCATTGTTTTCAATCACGGGGAGCATATTACTAGTTGAGTAGTATCATTCCTCCTGTAAGATGAAGCAAATCTGAGGACTCACCTAAGGACTCCAGAGTGAGCGGGGCTTATTTTTCGAATCAATGATCCGACAATACAAAAGAAGGTAATTGCTTGTCCAGGCTTGGTTCGGACGGTTCTAATTGGCTATGTAAACAACGTAAACTTATCAAGCGCCTGAACCGGCGGCTACGCACGGTTAAGGTTCGAAGCGCTGACTAATTGATTAGATTATCCGAATTGTAGATATCTTTCTTTTAACCGCGTCCAGGTATGAAGCGATCCACGGCTTCAATTTCGTCGTCTCCTACAACTCAGAAGACCAAAAAAGCCAAGCTTAGCCCAGAATACAGCGAAGATGAAACGAATATCGCAACGGACAAAGTAGAAGGTGGGGGATGGACCAAAGTAGAAAAACGCAAGAAGAAAAAGGCCCACAAGGTAGAACTAAAACTTGATGTAATGCCTCCAACATTAGAGATGTACGCCTACTAAAAATGTCAGCTCGCAGACCACCCAGCCTAAGTTCATGTACTCGAATCGTGACATATTACAGAGACAGAGAGCGATCGGTATTGAGGTGTCTTCATATTTTCTCGTTTCTTGATCATTTCTTGAAATAACATCTCTAGGAAGTTCGTGACTTGGCTCTGCATATAATTGCCGATGCTCCTCCTCCAAACTGGCTTCGCATTGAAGTATGGTTATGCCTAGGAACACGAAATTCGCTGATATCTTGATTAGAATGCTCAATTAATACCGAAAGTGGTCGTGATTCTTGTACCAGGACTGACACCAGATGTTCTTGGAATACCTCCTCCGCCAACAAGTGCGCTCAGAAACCCTAATCTTCCTATATCTATTCCGCTTCCTCCTCGTCAAGATCCTCTCAATCTCACTCCAACAGGTGTCTCGTTCATCGGGTCAACGTTCAGTCACGCCTGTCCAACGCGCGCGCCAGGCGACCAGACGAAGATGCACAGTGTTCTGAGCACGTTTTTCAATCTCCCGATCAGTGGGGCCGAGAAAAAAAGACGACTAGAAGTAAAAGCCAAAGTCAAAACCTGTACGTCGGCTTTTATTTCTATTCTTAAAAATGTGCTGTTGATCAACATAATGCCTCTTGCTCAGCAGAATATGGATCGTCAGACCCTTCGGAATACATACTCACAGTTGAACAAATGATTGAAAACGAATATCCGATACCGTCATATTTGGCCGATGTTGACAATGAGAGGCCCCCAGGCTGGGTCGAGACTCCCGCGGAAACTAAGCTCGGTGATCAAGACCGGAATCCAAGACCAAGGCGAAAAGTGTATGGCATTGATTGCGAGATGGTACGTTCCTTTGCTATCATGCACTGAAAACGAACGTGACAGGATTCATAGTGCACGACTGAGGACGGCAAAGAGCTCACCAGAGTCTGCATGATTGACTACGATACCCAACTGGTTGTATACGACCAACTAGTGATACCCAACAAACCCGTCGTAGACTATCTAACCCGGTCAGTAAATACTACATCCCAATATTTCGTCACACAGTACTAAATTCCCGTTTCTTCTCATTGATACAGGTGGTCAGGGATCACTGCGGAATCGCTCGCTACTGCAACGACCACATTCGAAGAAGCACAAGCTAATGTTCTCAAATTACTCAGCCCGGTTTCATCGCATATACCAAAGGCGAATCCATTTTCTACCAAACCATCTGTTGCTTCTTCCTCTGCACCTCTGCTGACCCCGATTCTACTTGGACATTCTCTCGAATCTGATCTCAAAGCTCTGAAAATCGCCCACTCCTTTTGCGTGGACACTGCTCTGATTTACTCTCACCCGCGAGGACGACCGTTCAAACCCGGCCTAGCTTGGTTGACAAAAAAATGGTGCGGAAGAGAGATCCAAACTCGTGGAGAAGGCGGGCATGACCCAGAAGAAGACGCGCGCGCCACAATGGACCTCGTGCGGAAGAAGGTCGAGAATGGACATGAATTCGGAGAGTTCAAGGCAGACCTGGAAGGTCTATTCGAGAGAATGGGTAGAGCCGTAAAGCGCTCGTCTACATCTACAGTCAGTACGGGAACTGGTGGTGAAAAGATACGGACAGCAGTGGTTGATCATGGGAATCCTGGAGTGATGCATGGGAATAAGGCTAGCACGAGTATCGGGTGTAAGGACGACGATGAGGTGGTGAAAAATGCTGTAGAGCTAGTGGGATCGCATGACTTTGTGTTTGTTCGGTTGATGGGACTAGCAGGTGTCAGGGGATGTAAGCCGAATTCCTCAGCCCCATTTTTTCTCTTGAATGGTTTTCATCTGGGTCAATTCATGCTTATTTTCTGATTTTTCTTCTAGGGATAACTCCCCGCGTCAACGTTTCCGATTCTACACCCGCATTAATACCCGCTGCTGATCCTCCTGCGTCTCCTACATCCGAAGCCTTTTCTTCCGCTCTCCTCGCTACTTCAGCCCATCTTCAAACTATCCATTCCTCCCTTCCACCACGGACTGCACTTCTCATCTTCACTGGCCACTCTGATCCTCGAAAAATGTCAGAGCTGAATAAGAGGAAGGCAGCATTCGAGGCCGCTATCAGGAAGGGGGTGTCTACGGACCAACTGAGCGAGAACGAGAGATGGTCCGCAGCTGATATGAGGGAGTTGGAGGAAGCAGTGGAGGTCGCGAAGCGAGGGTTTTTGTTTCTGGGAGTGAAGGCGTAGGAAGTTCTCAGAAGTACGCCATTGTTGGAACACGAACCCCAAACTACCGATTAATCTTCTTTGTTTTGCCCTCTCTCATCTAGCTACGAGAAATATAACCCGACTCGTATAAAATAGCAGATGCAGAGTTGGATCTCTTGTATATAAAACGATTCCTCCGTCGGTCTTCTCCCTTCCTCACAAGATGACTGAGATAAACACTTGAGTGTCATCCATAGACCCCAGAGAAAGCAGAAATTTACACTGCGCCATCCATGCTAATATTAATGTAGTGTTCCCAAATTTGGCGCGGGAGACACCGCTGGACACCACGAGTCACGAGTCAGAAGTCATAAGCAACATTTTCTTCATATGGTCGTATCATAGTAAGCATTAATGCAAAAGAAAAAGCGGGTGAAAAGCAGTGCGGATCATCCTCTAGACAACGTAGTAGAGGAGATTCAAGTAATATGGATGTATGTTGGTGTGTTGGTATCTATGTAAACCAGTCCAAGAGATGCAAAAAATGAGTATGCGGATGGTGTGTGACAATGAGGATGAGGCAAAGGACAGGGAATTTGGGATATGGAAATCAGAGCAAATACGACGAGCAATGGCATAGGGATTGACCAAAAACAAATAGTGAAGCAATAAGAGTAAGTATGAGCATTTAAGTATAACCTAAGGCAGTATATGCAGGACATGCAGAACAAATATGAGTAAGGATTAATATGATAACACAATAACTCTTTTGGACGAAGAGAGAAGCAAGAATGATCATGATCGTTATATAGTTACAACGCCCAATGGCAAAAACGAAGCAACACCAAGATCCCAAGAAAACAAAAAATAGAAGGGGGAATGCAAATATAAGGAGAAACATTGTCCAATGCGACAATGGGAGTGGAAGAAGCCAACCTTGAGCACCGCGGTAGACATCCACGACCGGGCAAGCGAACGAACATCAAAAAACGACCGCCCACTCGATCGCTTCATGACTTGGTAAACACCAACTTTCCTACACCTATCAAGCCATCCGACGACTCACCAACACCAGCACTCCTCTCAACGACAATCCCTACGAATCTCGTTCGGCCCATAAGCCAATCTACCCTCCTCACACCCTCTTGTTCTTCTCTTCCTTCTCCTTCTGCACCACTAGATACTCTTCGCCCCGCACTTAAACTTGCTTGTGCTCGATCCCGTGCAGCCCGGAGTTGTATTATCTCTACACGTCTTTGATATGCGCGGCTGACGCGGCGCTGCCTAGAGCGATCCGAGTCGAGAGTGTTCCACTCGCTGTGGAGGACATGAGCGTGGAGGGTGTGGTGCAGTGCATGCAGGACGTCGTTGTTCGTTACTACTGGGCGCGAATTAACTGAAGGTACTTCTGCACAACCAGCGGTGACGATTACTTCCCAGGGGAATCGATCGGACTTGAGAACTAATTTGCCCAAAGTCGGGGGATCTGTCGCAGGTTCCGCGAGGACATGAGCCGGAACGGCCTCGCCATTTTTTGTCGAGCGAGGATTGGAAGAAGCCGCTTCATGGGTCGATTCAGTAAATTTGCACCGCACAGAAGTTCGAGATGGAGGACGCGTGACGTCGTAGCATATTAGAGCAGGCGAATCAGGCGAACTCGCTGCGAAAAGAGGGTGCATGTGAAGTAGTTGAGGTTTGTTGGGGTTTGCAAATGAG